GATTCGTGATAAACGGGGCAGACATATATCTTTAGTGTTAAATTATTAACACACTTTAATTAAGATTAATTTATGGCAGCCCTGGGTTTGTTAAGGTTTTATTATCATGAACACACCTTATTTTCGTTTTTGTATATTGAATTATGAACAAAGACCTTCCCAAGGTAAAATCGAAAGCAATCCACGGGCTGACAAACTATTTCGATTCTAATATCATGACAAAAAAAAAAGACAAGGACAAAAAAATGATGTCATTTGACTAATAAATGATTTTTTGCACAAAAAATATTGCCAAGTCGTCAAATATTGATGGCGTGGTAAATCGACTATTGAGTACAACTTTATTAATATAACGATTAAATCATTAACATCAAAACAATAATTTGATGTTGCCATCTACTGCAGGAGTTACAAATTGTAATTGTTCATCATTAGAGCTATGGTCTTTAATAATGTTTTGCAATAATTGAAAATCGAAAATACCTGCCTAATTTAAAGATCAGACTATACCTATCATTTCTTATACTTATACCAAACCAATTGCAACTAAAATTTTCAACTACAAACACGTGTTTCAGGATCTCAATATTGACGACTTCAAGTCTAAACCTCCTGATTGCACCTGTGCTAGTTCCCCATTCATATATAATCCGGCTGGCCACGTTATTACTGGTGACCTTGCTATTGCAAATAACATTTGTCTGCGAAATGTGTTATCCAAAGGCCCGAAATATCGTGAGCCTAAATCCATCAATGGAAACACAACTTCAAAATACTGATGGATTTAGTCGAGGATTATGCCAGACAATGGGTTTAACGCGAGAAAGAAGACGTAGATAATCTTTACGAATGGATTAAGGTTGTGAGGTCGTTCAAACAAATCAGAATTAAAAAACAGTATGGGTCTATAATACCTATTCTACATCAATCTTTAAAGTCTAAAATATTGCAAAACACCTGTCCTACACCAATGCTAAATATGCTGTTGTTCCCGCAGATAACGCATTAAACAACATCGTGTTTGTGTGTAAATCACATTACATAAACTGCTTGATAATGAATTAGGTATTGACAATTCACTTTGAAACTCGACATATACCCCCAGGACACTTATCAATGAGGAAATCCTGGATAATCATAGGTCTGTTTTATGTTCCTTTGGAATTTCAACCAAAGATGAAGAACTGGATCTTCCTTCACTGTATTGGATACCTAAACTACATAAGTGTCCTTATAAACAAAGTTATATTTCTGGATCTTCCAAGTGCTCCACGAAACCTCTTTCTAAATTATTAACATCAATTTTATCAGCAATCAAATCCGGTCTTCAAAATAATTGTGAAACTACCTATTCTAGAGATGGCATGAATCAGATGGAGATACTTAAACTTTCCAAAGATCTTTTAGAGTACATACAATCTAAGACTCTTTCATCTTGCAATAGTATTAAAACATTTGGACTTTTCTACACTTTACACAAGTATTCCCCATTTCAAACTAAAAGATAAATGGAAAGACATGGTCCTGCTTTGTTTCATAAAAAAGAATGGCCTACGTAGATACAAGTTTCTTGTCTTGTGGAGGGACACATCGTACTTTGAAAAAAATCAATCTGATTCAAACAAAACATTCTCTGAAACTGAAATTATCAAGATGCTTGATTTCTTAATTGACAACATATTTGTTACATTTGGAGGACGTGTTTTTCAACAAACAATCGTCATTCCCATGAAAACCAACTGTGCTTCTCTTCTTGCCGACTTGTTCCTTTATTGATATGAGGCTAACTTCATACAGGAAATTCTTAGGAAGAAAGAAAAAAGAGTTAGCAGTATCTTTTAACTTAACTTTCCGCTATATAAATGATGTCCTCTCACTAAATAATTCAAAATTTGGTGACTATGTTGAACGCATCTATCCCATCGAACCTGAGATAAAGAATACAACAGCTAGAGTTAAGTCTGCCTCATGTGTTGACTTACATCTAGAAATTGACAGTGATGGTTGGTTGAAAACAAAACTTTTCGACAAAAGAGATGATTTCAGCTTCCAAATTGTGAACTTTCCATTTCTTTTTAGCAACATTCCAGCAGCACCTGCATACGGAGTTTATATCTCAAACTTGATACGATATTCCAGGGCTTGTATTTCCTTGATAGAGGGTTCCTGCTCACAAGGAAGCTATTAAACCAAGAGTTTCAAGTGGTGAAGTTGAAATCATCCCTTCGTAAATTTTACGGACGCCATCACGAGTTGGTTGACCGTTATGGAGTGTCCGTTGTATATATGACAACGGATATGTATCAATTGTCGTAACTACTATCCCGTCCCCTTTTCCCCGAATTTGACTACCGAATTATACTTATCACAGGGTTTGTACTAACATGAGCAACACGACGAGTGCCACATGTGGAGCAGGATCTACTTACCCTTCCGGAGCACCTGAGATCACCACTAGTTTTTGGTGGGGTTCGTGTTGCTCAGTCTTTAGTTTTGTATTTTGTGTTTTGTGTACTGTTGTGTGTCTGTTTGTCTTTTTCCTTTTGGCCATGGCGTTGTCACTTTATTTTCGACTTATGAGTTTGGATGTCCCTTTGGTATTTTTCGACTCTTTTTTGATAGGCATAATTTGAATCTGTATTCTTAGGTTCAGTTGCTCTGTAGAGGAGTAAGCATCACTTCCTTCTTATAATTCGCCACCCATCCCTGCGTAGTTTCTGAACATCTGTGACGATTGGCGTGTGACCAAAGCCTGGTTGCATACTAATGAAAAGTAAAATAGACATACATTTTTTGGAATAAATATTGATTCACTCATAGGGTCTTTGCATCTAAAATAAACACATTTATTCTAAAACCAGTTGTTGATGTTCTTCTCGTATATTTTATGATGTATGATACTAAACCCCTAACGGGAGGGATTGTGCTTGATTTTCGTATGATGAAGACATAATCTTTCAATCAGTTTAATTGAGGTCTGGAGCTGGCATGTCAGTAACTTCTAATAGTCATTTGCTAATTTATGTTATCATTGTCATTTTGGTTAGTTTCTTCTGTTACCTATTCTAACTTCGGAATCGGACTTCTTTTAAACTGAGTTTTACTGTTCGTATTGCTGTGTGTTTGTTTATTCTACATTAGCAAGAGGTATAAGGGAGGGTTGAGATCTCTCAACACATGTTTAACCCCGCCGCATGTTTGCGCCTGTCCCAAGTCAGGAACATCTGGCCATTGTTATTCTTGTATGTTTTGTTTTAAATTTCGGTTCATCTATATGTTTCGGAGTGTTGAGTGACGTCCATTTTCTATGAACTAGTACACATGTCTAGGGGCCATATGAAGCCTGCCTCCGGATGTGGGATTTCTCGCTGTGTTCAAGACCCAGTGGTGGCCTTGGGCTGTTTTCTGCTCTTTAGTCGGGTTGTTGTCTCTTTGACACATTCCTCATTTCCATTCTCAGTTTTATTAATTCTAAATCAGGGACAATGCATATCAATACCTGTTTTGACAGCTGTTATTTTCTCTCATATGTTTACGAAAAATTGACAAATAAATATGTCGGCTCAAAAGTATATGATAACAATTTACAATATCATTTAAAAATTAGAATGCTACAAATTAGAGGTATCATAAGTTTACCGTTTTTCAAATCTCATTATTCCGCAAAGAATAAAGAAATCTAGTTAAAACAACAAAAACTGATGAGCGAGACCGGGTGCGTTGACAGAGTAAGGATATCGTGCTATGCATGCACCACCCGCCTTGCAAATCCACCCAGCCATAATGTCACAATTGGAATAAGACATACTCTGTTAGATTACAGATAGAGCGAAAACAAGTTGACTGATAGTTTGTCTATGGTCTTGGTCTTTTCAAAAACTTAATGTGTCTTAAAATGTAAAATTGATAACATTTATTCCCCTCCTGGTTCGTAACAATGATGAGAAATATAACGAAAAAGATGAAAATTGTACGCTTCTGGAAGATACATCTTCTTCTCAGTTTATAATCAAGTTTGGTGAGACGTAGGTTGGAAGTTAAATCGCACTTAATAAACAATAAAGATAACTGTACAGGGATTATAACCGACAGGGGGCACTGCAATAAAAAGTTATAATACCAAAGAAAAACAGACGACAAAATGAATGTTCCTCTTAATCCAAACACAAGTACCGTTTGAGAAAACAATTAAAGTAAAGATCATACCAAATTAAATACTTGTTACATCCAATATTATCGACCATGTAATACCAAAGACAGAAATTTTTCAATCACAAGGAGGAGATCATTTTAAAATTATTACTTTTCAAATATTTGCGGTCAAGAAAATTTGGTAAGAGAGAGAGAAAGAAAGAAATGAAAACTTAGACGGACCAGCCTTCGATAATTTCCGGGAGATCTGCGCGCATGATGAAGCTTGTAGTTTGTTTAGCAAAATGTTATGATATATAAATATAGAATAACATAATAACAAAAATATTGGACAATGCAACCAGTCGTATCCCTCTGACGAACATAATGACATAATCACTCTGGTTTGATTACGATTGCACTGTTGATAGTACAAACGTGACGAAAATGCGTGTCTTAATTGCGTATATTACTTTCCTCCGTGTGAAAATTCTTTTTACTGTATTATATATTTATTTGTAGGGATGAACGTTTGTACCTGATAGTAAACATCGTCTTCACACAATAGTTCTATTGTTTATTGTTTTTGGGGAAATGTGATAAATGTACGCAAAATAGTTTTAAACATAAAGGATTGTCTGTTTTAAAGAAAATGAAATAAAACATTTTGCTCGATATATTTCAAAGAAACATAAACGATAAAAATGTGTATGTATGATACAAATGGGGTGTTACTTTTATTATTGTATCGTGTTATTAAAAGGTTGGAAATAGCTTTTGGTATTGCTAAGGAATATATAATATCGACATAAACAACTTTGCAGAGTAGTAGACGTCAAAATGATCAGAATAATTGTCATTTCAATAGCATGTCAAATCAGTTATACTTTTACTTCATCCATTTATGTTGGTTCAAAGAAAAACATAGAATCTCAAACGCAGTGTTCTAAATATGATTTTGAAGAAAAGATATTGGAAAAACTTGTTCGTCTGGAACATAAAATGGAAATTAACGAACAAAAAGTAAAGAGCTTTGAGGAATCTGTGATGTTCAAATTAAATGACTTCAACGATTCGGAGAAACAAAGGAAACAAAGTATGCAATCAATGATAGATACATTCGAGATGAAAAGAACTTGTTAAACAGTTCATTAGTGAATGCTATCGAAGATGTGATGATAAAAACTGACAGTTTGGCGGATGAATTTACAGCAAAATTTAACCAGCTTCGAAAAGGTAAGACAGATTTATGTATAGAACAACTCTAAATTGTCTCAAGATATCAAACAAATTGATTATACATTATTTTATTTATTTCGTATACGCAACTTAAAGGCTAAGACAAAGGTAAAAAGCAAAGACTCGGTCGAACATTTCTATCCTGTTTTGAGCAGAGTATGAATAAGTACATTTTGAGACCATACATGTTTTTTATATTTATACTATAACTCTTTCTTTCAGCTGTTTCATAGAAACTAACAAACCATTCTGCGAACCAGCATTCTTAAACAACGTTTTTAGTAAAACTCTACGGAAATATATAATCAACGTCACAAGCAAGGCTTTATATGATCAGTGCTTGTATATATGATTATATGTTTAACAAAATTGCCAGTGCATTTTGATTGTACAAATAATACAGTTGCAGTATACAAATTAATAATTTCATTCAATCATCAAATTAAGATCATACTTTACTATATATTTTAACTTAGAATATAACATTGTTTTTTAAAGTCAAGGGATAACTTTTTACGACAAAAAAAAGTGTTATGAATACATTAAAAGTTTCCGTCATTAGCCAGCGGAAGCCAGATTTCAAAAAATATTGTACCACATTTCATCGGTTGCATGTAACTGGTCGCTGAGTTAGTTGCAAGCATTCGCAAATGTCGTTTGTATGACAACACAATGTATCCGATAGTCTGCTATTTCAGTAAAGCAAACATTTGTTTATGTTTACAGACCATTCATCAACAGTTCTATTCAAGGCAGTCCATTTACAGTCGGATAACAATTTACAAGGAAAGATTCTGGTGTTTAATAACATTATTACGAACGACGGTAATGGATATAATAACAACAATGGTATATTCATAGCACCTGTGTCTGGTGTTTACTTGTTTTCCGTGCAATTATGTCCAGATATAGGTGATCATGCTACGGGTTATATCATAGCAAATGGGAAACGAATAGGGAAATTGAACTTTAAAAATTCTTCCGATATCGATGATGTTTGTGCTTTTTCTAACGGTATACAAAGAGTTATGAAAGGACAAAAAGTGTGGATTTATTGTAGCTACGCCAACCATAAAGGCGATGTGATATATAATACCAATGTGTTAAATAATGGAAACATCTTTTCCGGAATTCTATTAAACCCAAACTGACTATAGAAAAGATTTTTACTATCAACTTATTATTTCTTATTCATATATGGATCATTTTGGAGATGAAGCTTGCGACGCCAAAATTCTACGAACCTGCAATAATTCGCAGCGTTAGCCCAAATGCAGCAGTATACTATTCGTATGGACATATTTTAAAAATAAATTTAACTGTTTGACATACAAAATATGAACTTTGATTTAATCCGCAGTTTATTGGCGGCGTTTATGTTGCTCAATATTTAGTTTTCTGTGAAGTGTTCGGTGAACTGTTTTTGTCTGTTCGTCTTTTCCCCAGTTGACAATGGTTTGTTTAGTCTTTCTATGGTTTATGATTGATTTCCTCTTTTTATATTTTCGTTCTCTGTTTTCACCTATAACTACGAACCATATGAAAATCATGAATTCGGTTAATAATAAATTCGTATAATTTTGTTTTACATGTAATCATGAGAGCAATTTGTAATTTGTGTTCGAGTTTTATCTATGGAACTTTAATTGTTATGAACATGAACATTTGTTTGCGAAAGGTAAATATTTTTTATATTTAGACTCATATTTTGACTCCAATCCTTTTTATAGTTCGTGTTTGAGGATGTTTGCTACATATCCTTTCCGCTTCTTTTATATTTTGTAACTCTCTGGATTTTTTTTCTGGAAATGCCTTTAACACTTTGTTCCTAGCAACACCTTTCACTCAATGCAAATAGTTCAAAATTCTTATCTCAAATACACATGTTATAAAACATTTTGTATTTCTTGTTACAAAGTTTATCTGTTAGGATATAACATTACTCATGCAGTTTTAACGAAAAGGTTATTTCTGATATGTTTGTATTCAAAACCAACAACCTGACATTATTTATTTTAACATAACTTGGATGTATTATGCATTTTGTATTAAAACAAGATTTCATATATTAAAATGGTATTGAAGATATAATTTATGGGGGATTTGATTTATACTAATTTTGATACGAGCGAGGGATAAACTATTGGCTATTACGGCAATTGTTTTGGCTCGAAGGCTGAAGCGCTCTAGGTGAATGCAAATATTTGCTGTACCCTTAATTAAACACACTATTAATATTAACGTAAAAGAAAAGAAAATAACTTTGTGACATGCTTAATCGATTTACAATAACATACTGGTTTGGACGAAGTGAAATGATTATCTTACTTTTTGTAAAGAAAATTGGCTTTTAACAATTTTTTATCATCTTTTGTTTATGTTTTCGTGTTTTGATGACTTTGAGTTTCATATTCGTGCATTTTCCCGTAGAACATATGGCAAAATCCTAGGTACTTTTTTCATACGATTTGCACCACTTAACTTTAGCCCTTTAGATTAGATTATTTCCCCCAGTTGAAGATTGAAAATATAATTTATATCAAAATTGAGGATAACATTGCACTCATTTTGCAAAAATAGCAGCAGAAATCTTACAAGTTTTCATAGAGACTAAACAATTTGTATTTTTATGATTTGAATTTATGCACGGCTTTCAACATAGCTAAATATATATATAGAATAACCATACATTGTCTCGAAATATAAATTTTATTTGTACAGGGCTTAGAAACAGGTAGAAAGCGAAGTTTTGCCGAGCATTTCTATCCTGTTTTGAGCCGAGTATATTTAAGAAATAATTCATGGGTCTTGAATTTATACTGATTTTACCACGGGTTGGCCCTTTAGGCTTAATAGTTTACCACGAGCGATAGCAAAATATTGGCATAAAGGTCAAACCCGTGGTAAAATCAGTATAAATTCAAGCCCCTATGAACTATTTCTATTCTAATAGGACAAATACGGCAATTCTTTCGGATCGAACGTTCTAAGTGAAGGCAAATATTTGCCGTTCCTGTAAATAAACACATTGTTATATTGACGTAAAAGAAAGGATCAAACTGAACTAGTGACATGCTTAAACTATTTACAATAACGTATTTAGATAGGTTTTGATGAATTTAAATGATAATTTTACTTATATGTAAAAAAAAATGGCTTATAACACATTTTATCATCGTTTGTTTGTGTTTTCTTGTTTTGATGACTTCCGGTTTCACAATTGTGCATTTTCCCGTAAAAAAAGGCTTATATTCTTACGTCATCGTTCAATGACGTGATGTAGCTCATTCATAAAAAAGTATATGACTTGGGAGTATGATCGGAACAGCCCGAACAATATATTCATATTTTACCACGGGTTTGTACTCAAGCGTTTGAAGAACGTCATATTAAAATCAAATTTATCACATATTTGTTACGAAAACATTGGGTTTTGCATGTGTAATAACCTCAGAATTGTCTAACTCATATTGCTGCCCGATACAAAAAAGTGGATATTGGTTATTGTGCCCTGATGGCAAACAATAACGGTGCTCAATTCATTGCAGTGGAGGAAAGCGACACAGCAGACTTTGTAGACCAAATAAAAAACACTAACACAAGGAAAAAAACTGAAAGTGACATTAAAATTCTAAAGAAGTGATTACAAAGTGCTGGAGAGCTTCGTAATCCAGAGGATATTTCAATTGAAGAACTGAAAAACATTTTGAAGATTTTTGAGAATTTACCTGTTGTGGTTAATTAAATAGTTATAATTGAACGTGTTTTCTCTTTTCTGCAGATCTTAGATATGTGATAAACAGATTATAATGTCTTTTCCATATTGGCCCTGGTATCATCCCTCGACTCATATCGGCCCTCGGCTAAAGCCTCGGGATGATACCAGGGCCAATATAGGAAAGGGCATGTTATAATCTATAAATACACAACACGTTCACAGTTTACATCAACAGATGAAGTATTCACAAAAGTTTACTTTTAAAAAGACCAGAGGTAATATGTCACAGGAATTAATTTCTTTAAAAATGAAAAGCAAGCATGGAATATTCTCAAATAGTTCTAAATATTTGGAGAAATAAAACAAAAAATCAGTTATGATGAGATCATGGATCGTTTGGAGGTTTGGTTAAAAGCCATTTTCCTATGATTCAGTATGGATCCAAAATAAAATTGGTGGAACTATATAGTAAATAAGGATACATCCACAAAGTAAACATAGAATGGAAACTATTGTCTGGATCATAAATAATAATATATATATAAACAATAGGTGTAAAAACTGTCTAAATAGATGCAATTTGGGTATCCTAACGTTAAATGACATGCTTAAACTATTTAAAGTAACATACTTAGATAGGTTAGGATGAAGATAAACATTAATTTAAGAAACTGGGCTTTCAACAAATTTGTGTCTCCGTTTGTTTATGTTTCCATGTTTTCAAGACTTTCACATTCGTACATTTTCCCGTACAATGCTTATGTAACTTACGTCACAGTTAGAGTTGATCGTTCAATGATGTCATTTACACCTCGGGTAACCCATTCATAAAAAAGCATACGACGTCAGAGTGTCATTGGAGTAGCCCGATTAACTGATATATAAAATTTCATGATTCGTGTAGAGAGACACTTGTACTCTCGTTTTCTAATGAAATTCCAAATCTAACGCCTTCATTCTGCTCGACCTTCATTTATGAACCTACCTATTTGATGACCAATTTGCGTTTTTCGTTTGTCCTACATATGCAGGGATTTGCCACAGAACGTGAAATGGGGGAGGGGTCAAATTGTCTGTTTGAAATGTGAAAGTAGATAATCACATCCTTTGGGAAAGAGAAAATGAAATCCGTGGACCTATGGTTGGATCCAAAGGAATAACTGAGGTACAGAAATATGTTCAACTAGACTTCTCCAGTCCGCCAAAAAAAAAATCATTCTGAAAAGGGGAGGAAGTTATCTTTGGTTGTCGCGGGATACAGATACTTGACTCGTCCGATCTGAATGGGAAAGCTTATTTGGACGACTCATACAGCAGTATCACGCCCTCTGCATGTCAAAGAACTATTGCAGTAACACATTGAAGGGTCTGTTAATAGCTTATGCATCATAAGATCCAAGTCCCAATCCAACTTACAGTCTTTTGACATGTACAGTGGCACTATATAGTCCTTCACCTATAATCTCTGTTGACCAACTTTGCAGAATCCATATATAGCTTAATCTTACCTCCTATACATTTCTAGGAATATCATTGGTTAAAAGCGACCGCGTGAAGACCATGTATATTTCATATGAGGTTAGTAGGCGTGGCTTTATACGCCCCTTTATAAAAACAACACGACAATGAGGAAAAATCTGAAACGTTTCAACAAACGAAGAAATTGATAATGAACGATTCAAATAAAAGGAAATAATTAAAAGCTAACAAGTTGTTATTGTTGGCATTTGTTTTTGTATAGACCAATGGAAGTAGGTTCTTTATTTTGAAGACTTGATCTCTTTGATAGGCCACTAGTCTAAATGCCACATGTTAAGATAGTCGGAGACATAAGTTCGTTACACAGTGTGGTAGTGACCAAATACTATATATATGGGGTCAATAAATTCCATATGGGGTTCGAACTTCGCTCTCACTCCATATGGAATTTACTGACCCCATATATATCGTATTAGGTCATTACCACACTATGTAACTAATAATATATAGCTATCTACTGGACTTATTGTTTTTTTTATCTAGTCCTTAATATGCACGAAATATTTACGATTGCATGGACGTCAAGCAATCAATAACTAATGGGAGACTGATAGTCTCGATTGGTCTAAAAGACTTGTAAGAAGCTTAACAAGGCTTGTGGTTTACAAAAAAAAAAGTTTCTACGTATTTCTCTATTTGAATAATATTTCTTTTCACGTTGAAGTCAATGATTGATCGATTGATTAATAATTGTATGCTTAACATCCAGTGGAAAATATCTCATGCATATATCCAGGATGAGAAAATTCAACAATCACTCTAATAGGTAGTCCCTGTAAATTGAGAAGACTGTGATGAAGGGCACAACTCGAGAATGATTCTAAATATTATGGGTATGTTTTAATAGTGGCTGATGTTTTACCTTGCAACAGACCCCTTAAAGTTCATGCAACAGTTCTCTAATGTGTAGATAGCGTAACACTCTCCTTACACGTTGCAGCGGAATTAACGTCCCAATTTTGTGCGTTTTAATACATTCCACATATCAAAACTGACGCACTTTTAAGTGTATTGTTTATATATACATCGTAACTGTGATTTACTTATAAGAAATTATGTTATAACTGATGACTTGAGGTTG